GGGGGGGGGGGGAATCTCCATAACTCTTAGGTGTCTGCCGTATGAAAAATGTCATAACTCCGAAGATCAGGATTTAGATGTGGAATATATGGCAGGCTGCAGATGGAATAATGATATGTTGGCAGGGGGGGTGGGGGGAGAATAAAACATTTTAGATGGATGTTGGAACACTGCAGAACACTGATATGAGCAGGATGAACACATCAAAAATATCTCTAGCCATATCTGTGAAATGAGTGGGAGAAGTGATTAGAAGAGACACTTTCCACTAGAGTTTTTATTTAAGCTATGAAATGATACTAGGAAGGATTTGTTTCAGTCTAGATATCTGTCTTTAGGATTAAACTCTCAGACAGGTAAAACTCCTTCTAAAAACCAGTGGGAAGTTTTCCCAGTTAAGAATCTACCTAATAGGCATTGTAGGATTTGCCTGAGGTCTGGAGAGAGGATTTGAGAATGTGACATCAGGGTTTGTGTTTCCCATGCTGCATGAGCTAATGACATTCAGTTGCCAGAACAACAAAGCAAGCCACAAAAACCCAATAAGCCCAATAAGTTTCAGTGCCTCAGGCCCTAATTCAAAGGGGCACTTTCAGCCAAGAGCACTATTCCTGACATGCATCAGAATTGTAGCCAAGCCAGAGGCAGAGCTGGGTAGGTCTGAGCCCTGAGTGGCAGCGCTGTTCAGGGCAGGGGCAGGAGCAATAGCTGTACTGCTGACCCCACTGGTGGCACCACACAGTGGCAGTGGCTTCTATTTTTGTATCCCACCCAGGTCAGAGCTCAGGGCTGGTGATGTGTTTACCATCCACCCTCTTTAGTTACACTACTCTACACCCCTATTACACTACTATTACACCTCTGACACACACAGACACACACGCACCTTCTCCCTATATCTCAGCAGTAAATTTAAGGCAAACTGAGAGCTTGGCTTTTATGTCCATATAAACTCAATCATCCCCTACTGCTGGCCTCCCAGAATTGAGAGGTAATCCTACCTTTTAACCTTCCTGCTTTGTTCCTTTCTTTAAAGAGAATGTAACTTGGGCCCATCTGACCCCTTTGAACCTGATTTTTCCAACAGTAATAAATGTCCTTAGATTAAGTAACCTTATTTCTGAGAGTATCAGTGAAATCTATGGGTGGTATGGACATCATATTTCTATTTTTTTGTAGAAGTTTTTTATAGAAACAGTCACAAGAACTGAGCTACAAGGAATTGGATGACTAGCTGGTTGAAGCTGCTAACACAACGAAGATTTCCTTGTTAAACTACCATCCCCCAGGAAAGTGAGCAAAATCACTTAAAATTTCTTTCTTGAAAAAAAGAAATTATGCAAAGAGTAGGGATTAAATCCTTGTTCCATCCAGATCAGTGGCCAAATACTTAAAGAATAAAGTGGAAACATAAATTTGCAATTGAAAGAAGTAGAAAGGTGAACACCCCAGGGTTTGATCAGACTTGTTCTACAATATTCATTCAGACTGGCACTGCACTATTACAAGGGAAAGGGACATTTACTATTATGTGCTCCACTGCTGCAAAACCAGTTGTTATTATTCTCTTTCTCCAGAACTTAATGGAAGTCTTCAAGAAAACTAAAGAAGAACAGACACCAATTACATATATGCCTTGCAATTTAAGGAGGACTTTCTGAAGAGAAACGAATATTCAAAGCCCTAATGATGGACAACTTCCTGCTAGTCACAGAAAAGTAGAAATCTATCTAGCTGTACTGCAAGGTAGAGTCACATAGAAATAAGGACATACTTGGTCATCTAACAAAATATTGTTCCCAACAAAACATTATCAAGTTTAGCTTTAGTAGTCTTAAGTGAATGTAACTGGCATCACCCCATCTGTATGGTGCATACACATGCATGAAGTTGACTTAAAATAAGGAGACTTAACTAAGTCACCTTAAGTTAAGCAAGCCATGTTGGGGCATATACATGTCCAGCTCCTTGACATGGTGGCAGCCATCTTGTGAGCCAAATCAACTTAACAAATGTAACTCAAAATAATATACCTTGGAGGTGTATTATCTTGTACTACATTTAAGTTGACTCTGCTCCACATACATGTGTACACTGACAGCTAAATTGTCTTTAAAAAGTTAAGGCAATTTAATTGTCAGAAAGTTAGTAGATGTGTCTGCACCCTATTTTACTGTCTAAAGCAACAGGATTTTTTTTTCCCTTGAGAAAACAGAACTTTTCTGGCAATTTTCCCCTCCTGCATGGAGTGGACCAATGGTTTTCAAACTAGGGTACATGGCACTTTGCCAAAAGGTATATGTTTAAATTTTAATAATGGAAACAGAATTGTTTGGTCATCAATGACTGATGAGTAAAGGCTTTGCCACCTGTTGACAATATTGAAACCCTTTCCTAGGAATGAGCATGCAGAGGTAGGAGATACAAGTAATGATGTTTTGGTGGTAAAGGGGTACATGGCCAAAAAAGTTTTGAAAAGCAGGGGGGAGACAATGGTGCAACCTCCACCAAAACAAAATTCCCTCTCTGATAATCCATGGTAACCCAACTCATCTCCTAAGCAGGGCACAGAGATATGCTGGTGATGATGTGGGGGAACATAGAGTCAAGGACAAAGCACTCTCTTTGCTACAATCCTCTGTTCATTTGACAGATTTGTACATGGACATCCAGGCAGGACATGACGTATCTTCCACTATAGGGCTATTATTTACATTTCAGAACAGTTCTGGATGCATAGTGAAAGTGGAAATCTTATCTTACTGAAACAGAAAGAGAGAAATTAGGTGGCAGAATACCCAAACTGGACATTAACTAAGCCCCCAGGGTTGTTATCCTTACTATAAATGCTGAGAGATATTCAATGATGAATAGTTAGGGCAGGGCAATGCAACTTGTGGCCTGTGAAGGAAAAACACACAGTGTACATGAGGTCAACCCATGACCTATGGGCACCTGCAGCTGCCTCTAAAACAGCTGCGTAATGGGGGAGGGTCCTGGGGGGTGGGAGCATATGGCCAGTGCTGCCTATGCAGCAGGACATGGGTATATTCTGGGAGTCTGCTTGTCACTGCCACTGCCAGCACAGTGGGAGAGAGTATTCCAGGCCCTGTTCCTGCCATATATGGATGATGTGGTACGAGGCCCCTGGCTACTAGGAAGTTGGACAGACCAGCATTAGGACTTTGACCTTATCTGGGAGACTGCACCTCTAGCAGAACTGTTCCCCAAGTGCCACAGCTGGTCATGAATCTAATACAGACCCCAAAAGAACAGCTTCTCCAAATACATTTGTGGTCCCACTGTCCAGTGACCTGTGACTTCAACAGTAGTGTCAATCTCTTGATGTCATCAGTTGAACATACTTACTAAGTGGCGTTTGGGATGGCTCTTAAGAAATGACTCCTTAAATGAAATTATATACCATGCCAATTACTAAAAGGATGATTTTTTTTCTAGATTATATTAATCAGAGAAACTGTAACCTTGAGGTTGTTCTTTGGGCTAGAGTTCTAATTGTAATGATAGCTAGAAGATTTTCTTCCTTTTACTTTTGAGCCTTTTTCTAGAAGATGCATAACATTATATGACAATCTAAGCATGAAGCAGAAGAGATAATAACTGACATTTCAGATTGACTAATACATAGTTATAAATCAGATAATTTTATATCTCTGCAGATTTATTAATCTGAAAAATCCATTTGAAGCAGTGGGTTTTTAATAATGATATCCACATTAAATTACTCTCCAAGGCTAACCTCCAGCTAAAGCTACTTTAAATCTTTTAATTTTTTTATTAGTGAGAAATCCACGGAGGGGGAAGGGGGGATCTAAGAACACCAGATCTATCATGTACTTAATTCCAGTAAGATACTTTGGTAGAGGATGCTGCTATTCCCAAGAAAAAAGGTATTCCCTTACTTTTACAAGCTCTCTTCTATGCTAAAAATATTTGATTTTGGCATGAACACATCAGACCATCATGTACAAAGTCCAGATGTAACACACTGGCTCCATTTAAGTCAACAGGAGTTCTGTAGTGGAGTCAAAGTTTCACCACAGTAGTTTAACTTTTCACGGTTTATTGCTCAGGCTTTATATACAGTCCTGAATGAGGTGTGATATATGAGCAATTCCAGCCAGTAGTAACCATGGGAGTCACTCTGACACCTCTGAGTCCAGACTACAGCATTTCTTTGTCTGCTAGGGATGGCTGCTATAGAACATACCCTTCCCACTGCATCCCACCCCACAAGCCCAGAGGTCAGGCAAAGTAACCTCTTTAGAGGAGCCTTGAGTGGGCCACAATAAGGATAAACAGGAGACGAAGCCTGCAAGCACATCGTTGTCAAAATCCAAAGCCATGAGGTCCCTGGTTGCAAATCAAAATATCTTGGATTTCAGTTACTTGTCAAACCATTTAAGTGCTTAAACTGCAAAAAGTGATCCAGAATACTTCTTCTTAGGAAGCCATAAAACAACTGTGTACCTGTGCA